AGGTTAAACAGGAACTTAGCCCTATTATTAGTCATAAACTTTCAATATAGTCCTTTAAAGAAATTGCACAATAACTCACAGTACTTTGACTAATCAGAAATATACTGTTAATATTTAGCCAGTTTTAACATACACTATTCCAAATTTCGACTAATAATATTGCTTACCAACTGGATAAATTATCTACACAACTACTATGGTTTCAAGTGCTGCTTTGCCATCTTGGATTACATTTGCAGGGTAAACATATACATTTGAGTCTACCACGAACACTCTAAAAGGAGTGTATTTTATTAAAGTTTTAGGTTCATTTTACAGTAGTAATACTTTAAAAACTTACTCAGATTCTACAAGCTATTAGCTAACTATTTTGCCAGAAAATAAAAACACCGAAGGATTAGACAGTTATAGCAGGCACCTCTCTCAAGTATTCATTAGGGACAGTAACTGATGAGGACTTAGATGGATATACAGCTACTGCTAATATTGGCTAAGCATCTAGTTTCATAAAATTCTCATCAATGGCCGTAACCATATCACCTCCAATAACAGAAAAGGATGCCACTTATCCAGTTACTATCACAATAAAAGATGATAATCCTGTTCCAATGACTTCAATTTATACTTTTAATGTGATCATTAAAGGTATAGAAGCACCTGCATCAGGCAGTAATGCCTCATCTAGTTCCTCAAATACAACTTTTAAAGGAGTAGTTATAGATGAAGTACTTCCAGTAAATGCAACCTAAGAGTAAAAAGACAAAAAAAAATAGAGTGATCTGCTATACTCTAAATTCGGAGTAAAGATATATTCTATCACAAACTCAGGAATTCTGACTCTCCAGTTTCTTGATCCTATTAGAATTCCTGATTTTAATTCTACTGGACTGAACTTATCAGAAGTTTACTAATCTAATTTCTTCAAAAATATACTCAAAGTATATACAATACCAAGTGAATATTCTAAAGCATCTGATCTAAATTTTAATTGGACCATTAGCTCGATTTCTGAAAGTAGATTAGTTATTAAATTGATCTTTTTTACTCCAAAGATGGTTTCAATCTAGGAGATAAGGGATCAGATTAGAGTGACATTTATTTTAAATGGGTATTTTTTACAATAAAGTACTGGAAGAGCACTAAAACTTCCAACAATTTTAACAAAAAATCTTCCGAAATAGATAGATCCAGGTGGTATGTATATCTTAAAGTTATGTAAATTTTAGATGCTGCACTGTTAGGAGCACTTGGAGGCTCTGCTTCAAGCTCTTT